TGGAAATATACTCTGAATCCCCAACTCTGCATTGAACTCATCTCTCGCTATGGATTACCACCCAACAACACTCCAGGGCAGTCAACTTCCAAAAAGAACTCAGGAGAACCTTACCCTCCACAGAAAGGAGAGGATCTAGTAGACTTGATTTCACCCATCCTTTGAAGACTGTTGTAGTTGTATCTTTGTTGTAACAATAAATCAGGACAATTGCTATGTAACTGTGGAATATGTCTCTGTACTATTCACTCCCACATAAGACGCAGAATTACGCCGTCATTCTGACCCTTTAGCGCAGATCAGCATATTGGCTGTTTAAGACCAAATTATATTATAGAAGCAATAATAAATAGTTATAATAGAAAGGCAGTAAAAAGTTTTTTGTCAAAAACAACTGATAACCAAAGATAAAAAATATTGCTTTGAGCAAAAACTATGGTACCCAAAATAAAAGTCAAATTTTTTCTTAGAAGCTTCTTTTTTGTGAAGATAAGAGCTTGGCACATCAAAGCCAACTTTTCATTATTGTCTCTGCACTTTGCATTCTTGCTTAAACAACATAGTGACATGATGGAGCTTTCAAGAACAAATTTCAAAAATATTCTTTGTTTTAAAATTTAATGGTGATTAAGTTTTTATATTGGCTTCTAGTCTGATGACTTATCACACCTTTTTAAATGTTTTCACTTGGACACCAAGAGACTTTTTTTGGCTTTTCTATTTTATTAAATATGCATTTTGGACACTAATGTTTCTCTTCACTTTAAAGCAGTTGCTTTTCAAGTTAAAAGGTCTTTTCCAAATTCACTGAAGACTATACATTAATTATACATTTTTTTTCTTTTTAATACATTTGCCTTTTTATTGAGACAACTTCTAAAAATATATTAGATCTTTGGCTGTTTTAATTTTTTAAAGTGATATTTTTAATTTTAAAAACTCATTTTCTTTTTTTCTCTTTAATAGTTCTCTTTTTTTTTTATACAAGACTAGAATTTCTCATTTTCCCCTTAAAATTATCTAGAGGTCCTGTTGTCTTTTATTAGTAAAGTACAGGTTCCATCTTTACACACATATTCTGAGCTACTATGATGTTTATATGAGCTATTATATACATTCATTGTTTTTCTCATACACTGAAAGCTGGCCAAACGACTGAGCAGTACAGACTGTTGCTGTAAAGGATCAGGATCAATCCCAGTTGAGATTGCTGCAAAAAAGTTTCCACACAGAACCATCTGTGTATTCTCCATCTAACATCCATACTGGACAAGTAGCTAAACAAATTTAAACCCTGAACAGTGATAGTTGGCTCAGGTTTACACTTAGACCAACAGGCTGGCTGGTGCATTTTGCAGCTTTTCTTTGTCAATAATGCTTGAATAGGGGCCACTTTCTGTTAAAACACCATCTGAAAGGAACATTCTCTCAATTACAGATTATGTTGCATGCCAGTATCTAAACCAATGAACTGATATACTAGCACGTTCAAAAAATTATTTGCTTTTTGAGTGATTCATATGCTACTAAATTTTCTTATAATTTTGATTCTCATACCATACGAGCTACTCAAAAATATATTAATATATATAACATAAAGTTTAAGCTATCTTTTTACAAATACAAAGTCAGTCATATTTGTACCGTATTTTGTAATTTTTGTTGGGTAATAGCAAAAACATACCTAGCCTGGCATGCGTTATATAGAGAATACAGTTTTCTAGGCAATGTGAAAATATTTATTTAAATTATAAAAGCTACAGTGGGTGATCAGTTAATGAACATAATCCGTTCCAATATATTGTTTGCTATCCGAACCATAGGTTTTTATGGTAATTTGATTAATTTGTTCTGGAGACTCCCAAAAATAAAAAAATATATATACTTTCTTGCTATGTTTATTTATATGTAATAATAGAAATACAGTAGAACCTCGAAAACTCGGCTCTCGATAACCCGGCATCCCGGATAACTCGGCCACACCCTGGCAGGGCAAAAAAATCCTTAGTTAATTAATTTTCATTATAGACAGCTTTATAAAAGTATAAAAGCTCTCATAAAGTATTTTTCTGTGGTCTGTCTTATCAGGTAAATTACTGTACACAGTGTATTCATTAATTTTCATTTTCATGTAGTAAAGGCTCTATGCCTTCATAAAGGATGTACTTTTCCTTTGTTTAAGGGTATTTGGGCAGTTTATTCTCTGTTGTATTCTCAAGCAAACAATACATACAAGTACAGTACAATATTTTATGAGGAAACACGCATACTTATCCTTTTTTAACCCCATTCCCGATAACCCGGCATTTTCACAAACTCGGCCACCCTTCGGTCCACATTAGGCCGAGTTTTCGAGGTTCTACTGTACATATATACACAGTCTTGCATTTTTATCAGTCATGTTTTTTCCGTTTGTGGGTGTTAAAGAATCTGTCTAATGTCGATTGCTTTTCTCTCTTCTTCAGGATTTTTCAGAAATAATTAATAGCATTGTAATTGTAGAGATCCCAAAGCATATTAACCTCAATCTAGTGTGGATGCCATTTTAAGACCGTCGTTCTGACATCCTCCCACTTCTTCAAAAGATCTTTAATTAATAGCAGATATCGGCATTAATTCTTTTTTCAGAAGAAAACATATCTCGCCAAGTTTCTTGATGTTCTTCATTCAAGAATTCTCGGTGTTCTTCTGTTGTCACATCCATTTCAGGTTCCATTATAAACTCTTCAATGTTCTTTATTTCTCAGATGTGATTTTTGTTAATCCTTTAGCTGCTTGAGTCTTCTTGATTATACAGTACCTTTCTTAGATAAGATTGAACTACAGCCTACTGTAGACCTGTTCAAGCCATACTGCCCAGCAACATCAGATATCAGACATCTTCTGCCCACTCTCTATCTTTGCTATTATACTCTCACCTTTTAAAAATAAAAGCCGATGCAAAACTTAACAAGTGTCAAGCTGACAGTCGTGCTAATACTATAAAAGAATTGTTTCTGTCAGAAAAATAAAAAACTGGAATTACAAGGAAGAGTTTCAAAGTTCGGAGGAATACTATCCGATTAGTATATACCAGGTTAAGCGTCAATGTCAACGTCTCTTGCGCTCCGAAAAGTTTCGAATTGTTGCCTAAAGACATGAGAAGACCAACCAGTATTCATAATTTTACATCGCTTCTTCTTGTGTTTGTTCTGTGAAGTGTTCAATGTCTGAACATAAAAATCTTTCGCAAAAGTGTTCATTATCCGATCACCCACTGTATTTTGTGAAAGTATAAAGCATGTCATGTGCAATATGTATAAAATTTTAGTGTAAAATTTAAATTTAGTGTGAAATTCCCTTTATATGTGAATATCATTTTGATATCTAAATTTATCAAAGTGCCTATTTTCTAAGAAATTTCATTAAATACTAATTTAAAAGTATTTTCCATACTTTACACTTTACCAACAGTAAAATTCGGATTCAGAGTTACCGGAGTTAAAAGACTTATCAATTCTGACTCCACTCTAAAACATATAACTCCGACCCCACAGCACTGCTCCCACACAGGTTGATGCTAAGCTGTTGTTTATCTTAGAAATTCCAAAGTTCCTTTGCATTTTCTTTATCAGAGGACCTATGTTTGTATTTGAGTTCATTAAAGTAAGTTCTTCATTATGGGACTGCAAAAATTCATCATCATAATCTGTGTCAACTTTCTGGAACCATCTTCTCTTGCAAGACCCAAAATCTTTGCTTTCATGTCATGTACTTCATTACATTACATTCTCTAATGTCTGTGATAAATTGAAGGCAGTTTTTTTCCATACAGAATTCATTGTTTGTGGAGTGACTCACTTTTCAAATCATTGCAACTTTTCTCATTTTTTCTTCTTTCTGTATCATTTTCTTCTCTATTTTTTCAACTGACTTTGAGTTCATTGTTAAAACACACTTTAAATTAATTTTATAACAATTTATAATTCACTTTAAAAATTCCTTCATGGTGAAATAAAGCCTAAATATAACACTTTTAAATATTATAATTACACATATGCATAACAGACTGAAGAGCACCTTATTGCCAGTTTTAGAATAAATTAATGAATATTTTCTATTAAAATCTTTTTTGGTTAAATAAAACTTGTTATAGCAATAAAATGGAGTCATGCCTAAAAATTGGTATAATTTTTCAAAAGCTATTATAGCAAAAAATTGTTAAGTAAGCAGTCATAGGTGCATTAAAATATTTTTATAATAATTTTTATTCTTTTTGTGATAACAAATCAAAATTTTTTTATCATCATTTAAAAAATTAATTTCATTTCATGATAAAAATTAGAAATATGTTAGAAGTCCTTTGTTTTCTATTAAGAAAAGTACTGAAATATAAACAGGTACTTTTCTTCTGTTAACAGAAATCCTGTAGTCTCAGAGTAATTTGATTACCTTAACTTTTTTGTAAGTATTCTCAATTGTATATAATAAGTTTACCAGTTGATAGTAATGTCTCCTAAACAAGGTTAGCAAAGAAAAACTTGGCCAGATCTTCACTGTAAACCTTTATTAGCTTGTTTATTTATTAAAAATGTTAATAAAGTGTTTTTAACTCAATTGTATGAATATATACATTATAATATAATGAATAAAAAAAAAACTACAAAAAGTGTCCGATGCACTATTTAGAAACTTCATACGTGTAGTATGAAAGGCTGAATAATATTCCTTTGACTTTTTCAACAATAAATAAAATAAGATTTTTAACTACAAAAGAATTATAGGATGTTATCCTATAGTTCTTCCAAAAATAAACAATAAAAAAAAATAACAATTTAAAAAAAAAATCACATTTTTATTTTATTAAAGTATTTCTAAATCATATCATTTTTGATTATGTATGAAAATATTAAATCTAGCATAATAAAAAATAATTTAGAATCCAATATTCATTATGTATATCTTTATAAATAAATCTGGATAAACTTCAAAAGTAATTTTATTTATACAAAACTTTTTACCTTGAAAATGAGTTGGTGGCTCTTCATATTCACCATCTTTTCCTTTCTTCTGATGAGCACGAATACGATCCATTTTGGCTTTGATCTTTTCCATTATTTCTTTTTCAGCCATTCTTTGTTCCTGAACTTCCTTCATTTGAATTTCATGGATTAATTCAGCTCCCCTAAAAAATTCATAATATCAGTTAAAATAAACATAATATATTGTATGTCCTTCAGAACATAGCATAAAGTTGTTATTGAAAACAATTCATACAGGAACACTCCTTTTGATGGAAAAAGTAGATGTTTTTTTTCTATAATTTATAATGGATATGCATTTCAGGCTTTATGCCCCTCTTATTATATTATGTATATCAGTAAAACTTTATAAGAAATTACAGAATGTATTTAATAATTATTTATATTAACATATGCATAACTCACAAAAATTTAAAAAAACCAAAAATTTAATTACCTAAAAATAATTATAGTGACAACTGGAATAACTAATTATTAAAACAATGGGGTAAAATAA